TATTGCAGCAATTTGAGCAGCTAACATAAATGTTACATTAAAATCATGAATACTAGCTACTCTTTTTGGATTTACTACTCTTTTTGGATTTTCTATAATGGGAAATATTAGATAAAAATTTTTGTGATAAGCCTCCCCATATTCTGATAGATCTAGGTGCTAACGAGTTTAACCATATCTTAGCTTTATCCCTTAGTGAAAAAGGAAAAATTCTAAGTCTGACGACATTATTCGACACTTTGTTATATCGTTATATTTAAATATAGCACACAATTCCATAAAACTAGCAAGGTATAAGTTAGGATCCTTATTCAGTGTTACCCCAAACTGATTATTTTGTACCATTTAGTTAATAGCAGGTTTAAACTCAAATGAATTGGCAGCTACAGTAGGGTTTTTTATACTCAAATGAATTTCATCTGCTATAGGATTATCATAGTCTCTTAAAGTTCTCTGATGATGTTCATTTTCATTTCCAGAATTATTTAAGTTGCAAGCCATTTTGTTCAAATTATCTATCTCTTTTTGTTGTTTTCAAATTTTTCTAGTTGTTCTTTCTAACTCCGAATCGTAAGGTATTAAATCTACCAATCTTAAACTACGCATACACAAACACAATAAGCAATAAAAATAAGCAAACACACTAAAATATAAAAATATTTAATTAAACTACAAATAGTTTTTAAGTCTAGATAAAATGTTCTCAGTTATAAAGTAATTTACCGTTACTCCCCGATAACGGCAGCAAAAACTTAACGCGGCAGTCAATTTCTATGATGTGCATTATAAATATCTTTCAATATTACAATACACACACGACAACACAAATAGTAAATATGCAGTTCGATCCCAATAAAAATAAATTCAATATAAGTAAATTTATCTTTTAAAATCTCTATGCTCTCAAACCCCGTAAGAATAACGAAAGTATATGTATCTCTCAAGTAATAAAGGGCTTTAATGGAGTCCTAAGTATTGATCCCGCATGGAGTTGGAAATTCTTATTATTATAACATCAAACACAATATTTAAATAATAAAGCTTAAGTAAGCAAAATAAATCAAAAGTAAATTTAATGTGCGGTAAATGAATGTAGTTAAAAGAACTAAGTTAACTAAATTAATTGCTAAACTTCAAAAGAAAGCTTACAAAGACTAACAAAGTTTTGAAACGAAAAGTTTAAAATTTAAGAAATCATCATTCCCCTTTTACAGTGAGTTTATGGAGTGTGAAGAAACTAAAATCATTTAAAATACATACAAAATTGTATTGTGTGAAATAGAAACAATCCTATTCTTTACCGTCTAAAAGTGCATAAAAAACATTGATTAATCCAGAGTTTCATCCATAAATTCGTGGTTAAGTTGAGAGGATACTAGCTGCCACTCCAGAGCTCTCACTTCTCCCTCGCCTGAGGGCTAACAATCTCCCTTTAATTTCCAAGCTACAGGACCAAATTGGGGATTTTAATCTTTTACCTTAAAATCTCCAATTATGCGCCCATCAAAGTATATTTCCTTATTTATTTGCACACAACCCCCTGGATTACATTCTCACCCATGAAATTGAATGCGACTCTTACCTTGTTGTAGAAAGCAGCATAGCCCTTTTAAATCGTAGAGTTCTCAACAAATTTTAACCTTTCAATTGGTCGGATAATAAAATAAATGAAGATAAGAGTTCGAACCATCACAATTTATTGACATTTAAAACCTTATAAAATAAAACAAATTCTTCACAAAAACATATCTCATTACAGAGAGAAAGATAAAAAAGACTACTCAGAATTCACGATAAAGATACGATAAAACACGGCTTTCATATTTAAAAACAAGTTTATAAAATAAAGAAAGAAAAGAGCACAACTTATCTCACACTTTTTCTCAAGCAAATTCCTATAAGTTCCCTTATGCATTTTCTCTCTTTACAATCACACCCAATTCTCTCTTAGAAGTGTAATGAAGAAAAAATCTCTCACCTTCCCTCTCCTCTTACAACCCTAGAAGAAAATCGTCTCTTCCGCTTCTCTCTCATGCCAAAACCTTCCTCTATATCTCATGCCCCCTTGTCTTCTTTAGACTCCTCTCCTTTTCTAATTAGGGCCAATCTTCTTTTCTAAAAGAATTCAACATTCCTTCAGAGTCTTCCAAAGTGTCTAGATGCCTTGAACCACTCCATGTGACGTTTGAATTGTTTGGAGCCTTCAAAAACTGCTTAATAATAGTCACAAAATGCCTTACTCCATCTTAATTCGTCTCTGGCACTTCTGGCGCAAGCCTAATGAAGTCCTCATTGTTCTTTAAATTTTGGTGCCTATGGTGCCAATTTTGGCGCCTCTGACGCCATTTTTGGTGCTTCAGGCGCCGCTTCTCTATAAAATGGCACCTTTGGCACCAGTTTCTGACGCTTCTGGCTCTAGCTTTCTGGAAAATGGCTCCTTTGGCGCCAGGATCATGAAAATCCCCATTTTAGCTCCAAAATTTTTCCTTTTGGCTACTTTTTGCTCCGAACGCCTAAAATTGATATACCTGCAATAAAAATATAAAAATACCCTTCTTTAAAGTGTAATATCACCAAAATAAGCATAAAATGTATACATAAAATACTACATTATTTTGGTGTATCAAGGATACAACAAGTTTTAATTAAATGTTTTACAATTATTTGTTTACTGCAATGATGATCTGCAAGGATTTATTGTATGTGTTTTTCTCTATTATGTGTGGCTAAATTCTATTTTATGTTTCTGTGATGTAGGGTTAATGATTTTATCATGAATTTTTGAGGTGTTTTACATGTAGTGTTTTCATAGCTTCTGTTTCCTTATGTTAGTTAACCTTATGGAATTTATTTACTCATAGTCTAGCCAACTATGATGTTAATATCTATGTTGATCTATAATTCTGATCTATTGCATAGTGGAATAAATAGGTTAATCCTGAAATCTTGATATAATAGATATATTATAGTTGGATTTTGCTACCAAGATAGTGGATCAGAAGAATCTTGGGCAAAGCCATGTGGTTAAGGTAAACTTAAATTCATGGGTTTCTAAGTCTTTCTCTAACTCAGGTATAGCCTTAAGAAGAAAATTTATTCCTGTTTGATAACTATCACGTAAAAAAATATTAAGAAAAATAAGAAAAAACCCACAATACTCGAGTCATAGAGATACAAGCCTCATCAATCTTGAAGTACACAAAATTTTTCTCCACCTTCTATTTTTTTTCGTCTGTAATTGTGATTTTTTTTATTAGGACTTTAGGATTTCATCCCTCTTGTAATCAGGCTAAGCTAGATTCCCGAAGCTAGTAAACTACCAAGAATAATTGTTAACCTTTCCTCATGAGATCGATACATGAACTCTGTTATCACATATTATTTGACATGTATACCTGTGTAATTGATCGACTTACCTCGCGATAACTTTTTGGTATTAATTTTATATAATGACCTATACTCTTCTATAATGAATAATGAATAATTTATTCCTCTCCACTTGCTTCTTCATTCACTACTTTAGATATAAGATTGTCAAGATGGCCTGTTAATTTAGGTTTGGATCATCTAATCCTTAATTAACACATCAACATCTACAAGAACTAGTTACAACCAAACTCGAGGGTTGAATGCTACCATTGCTCTTGAGTTCACGACTTCCCTCCTAATATCATCCATGAACTTTACTTTCATAAATACCCCAAAACATCACCTAAAAATAAAAGCTAAATTATTAACTACTATAAGGACATAAAATAAAAATTGACCATGTCAAAACAAGATAAGGGTGAATAATATATGCTAATAATAGTGCATGAATGGTAGCTTATAGGACAAAAAAAATGATAAAGTTTTACTTGGAAATTGTTTATCGAAGTGATACAAAAAAAAAAAAGGAAAATTTATTAAAACGAAAATTTATTGTGAAGTGTCGGTTTAGTTGGAAGTATGTGTTTGATAGAGTTATTTAGGAAAATTTATTGTGAAGTGTCAGTTTAGTTGGAAGTATGTGTTTGATAGAGTTATTTAAATTATTCGTAATTTTATAAATATTTAAATAAATGTGTTATATTTAGAATAACTCAATATAATAACTATTATTTTAAAATAGCCTTATTATTAAAAAAAACTACTTCTAGCGCTTTTTTATTATTGCTGTCTATTGTTATCAATATGCACGCCCTTTCATCAACATATTAATTCAATAAACCACAAAGTATTTCTAATATAATCATTTTAGCTTTGTAGGCCAACAAAAATTAGGTAGGGTGTTATAATTTAAGAAAATATTCGGTTTTATTTGATTGTATATATTTCTTTTTTCCTAGCTAAAATTTTAGAAAACTGGCTTTGTGTGACAATGTGGCGATGAGGAAAACCTTAATAAATAAAGATCATGTATGCCATGTAAGAGCATTAAGGAAATTCTATTCAAAATAGTTTATAAAAAGAGCAAAATGTCAAAGTACTCAAGGACACACTGCAATTTATACCACCTCTCAAAAAAACACGATCTTTATATTTTCAGTTCAATTTCCAATAACCAATAAGCCATGAGCTGCTTCTACACGTAGTCATACAGCCATTAAATATTTATACACTGTGAGGAAGTTTATTCAGAGGGTATTGAGAGTTATATCTACGTTATATTTCTTATACTTTTCATATAAGTTACCTGTAACCTACAAATATATGAAAATAAAAACGTAAAACTTACTTGAAAGTCGAATAGGTTACAGAAAAATTATAGGAGGTATAACATTAAGCGTTATATTCCTTATATTTTTCATATAAGTTACCTGTAACCTACAAATATACGAAAATAAAAACGTAAAATTTACTTGAAAGTACGAGTAGGTTACAGAAAAATTATAGGAGGTATAACATTAATACAACTCTCCAATACTTTTTTTGAATAACCTCTCTGATTGACACATTTAGAACATGTTTGCTGGAGTAGCTCCTTAGAAATTATTTTGAAGGGAAAAAGAGAAACAATCTCATCTGCTGTCGACGGAGAACGCACAATCAACCAGCCCATTCCTAAGAGAAGCCAATTGAAACAAGCTGAAATCCTCCGCCGTCATCTCTGGCAGCGGTGTCTCTCTTTCAAGGTACTGCACCACCTGCCTCATACCAGGCCGCGCCGCCGCCATTGGGTGGGAGCACATCAACCCCAACCTCAACACCATCTCCACCTCCTCCGATTCAAACTCCTCCAATCTCCTATCGCACGCCTCCAACAACTTCCCTTTTTTCAAAAACTCTATCACCCAATCCACCAAAACCATCTGCACCCCACACCCCCTCAGCTCCACCGGCCGTTTCCCACAAGCCACTTCAAGCAGAAACGCCCCAAAAGCAAATACATCCGAGCTCGTCGTAGACTTACCCGTCCTCGAGAGCTCTGGAGCAAGATAACCAAATGTCCCCATCACCCTCGTCGTCTCCGCAATCTCTCCCCGATCCTGTAGCCTCGCCAGCCCGAAATCACCAAGCTTTCCATTGAATTTGGCGTCGAGGAGTACATTACACGCCTTTATGTCTCTGTGAAGCACAACTTGTTCCCATTCCTCGTGCAGATAAAGCAGCGCTGCCGCTATGCCTTTGATTATATGAAACCTCTGTTTCCAACTAAGAGGTTTCTCTACTCGCCCGAAGATGTATTTGTCCAGGCTTCCATTGGGCATGAACTCATAGACTAGCATGAGCTTTCCTTGTTGTCGGCTGTATCCGAGAAGCTGGACCAGGTTGCGGTGCCGAAGCTGACCGATGCTGGCGATCTCTGCCACAAACTCCTTCATCCCCTGCTTCGATTCATGGGAGATCTTCTTCACTGCAATCTGTTGCTTCGATTTGGGAAGCTGCCCTTTATAAACTTCCCCGAATCCTCCGTTCCCTAATATGTTTTCTTTGCTGAAGCCTCTGGTGGCTTTGTACAGAACTCTGTACGATAATCTTTGTGGCCCGTACTCTTTTTCCCATTCTTCAATCACCTCTGCGTACTTCCTCCTCTTCTTCAACAGCACTACCACCGTTACAGTACAAATGGACAACAACAATGATACTGCAACGGCTATCGAAATTGGGAGAACCCAATGATTTGTTTTTTTCATGGCCGCCTCTTCTTCTCTTGGTGGTAGTACTGGAAGTTTAGAATGATTGAGCTCTTCTGCTGTTTCGTTCATGGCAAAACTCCACCCCAGGATACAATGCGACCCAGTTGCAGCGCCAGTCGAGGCTGAGAAGCCCACATACATATCACGCAGCAAAACCGAAGAAAGATTAACTTTTGATGAGAGTAGTGGTAAGCTGGGTTTCTTGACATTGAGAGGAGCTATGGTGACATTGAACTGGATGTTTTTAGAATCATACTCTGCCCAAATTTGCATCGGTTCACCGCTGATCAAGCTCAGATTTTGGAATCCGAAATCGAAGGATGAGTCGGAGAAGAAGGACGCGGGAGCGGCGGCGACAGATTTCAAGCCGTTGACGTCGATGCCTACGTGGTTGTCGTTGATGTCGCTGAACTCCTTGCTCTCTGTGGTATCAAGTTCGACTGCGACGATGTGGTTATTAGGATCGTCGTTGTGTGTGTAGTTATAAAGTCCTAGGTACTGGCTGGGGAGGACGGCGGGTAGATTACTGGTAGGAGAGACAGCAAAGGCGATTCCTTCAGAGCTGAGGTCGGCGTACAGGGGAAAAATGGCAAATATGAATGAGGTAGAGAAAGAGAAGGGTTCTTCGAAGGAGTTTAAGAAAGAGAAGGGGATCGGGTGGAATGCATGGCCGACCTCCTGTTTGTCGTTGTTGTTGGTGAGCCGGAGTAGGCCGTTGGGCAGGATCTCCGCAGCGCCGTTCAGCTCAAGATTGGCGCCGAGAAAGCCGTTGTAAGCAAATTTGGACACAGAGGAAGATGAAGCGGGACCGGCGCCGGCGAGGGAGAAGAGTTTTGAGATCATCAGGAGAGCGAGGCAGATGGGAAGCATTTTCTGTGTTGGTTTCTACGTCCTGGAGCCTTGACGACGAGTCTTCTCCTATCAACGGCTAACATTTGTAAAAGGATTTACATACATGTATTAACACATACATTTAAGTTGTGTTGGTTTCTACGTCCTGGAGCCTTGACGATGAGTCTTCTCCTATCAACGGCTAACATTTGTAAAAAGATTTACATACATGTATTAACACATACATTTAAGT